CTAAGAAAATGAATCAAGAGTGTGTTGGGATGTGGGACTTTCCTAGAAAGCTTTAGTCAAGATGCGGACCCCACCCCTCCTTTGGAACGAGAGTTAAGGGCATCAACACCCCAAAATAGATGGGATCACACTGAGAAGCTTACCCGTTCTCTCAACTGAAAATGTCTCCACGTAGGGCTATCAGGCCAAGGTGTCCCCTCAACTCAGATTTCTCAGGGACATGAAAAACGAGGAGTTTTCACGTCCCTCAGGGGAACCAGGCTGACCGCAAGGGAACAGCAACCGCAACTCCCACCACGGACCAAGAGAGGCATGCGCACAGAGTGCTGCCCCTGTTTCCCAGCCTCGGGAAACCCCAGAAAAGAGTAAGCGGATGTGACGCCCCCTAGCTTCCTATCCCTGAGTCCACGGGCTTTGAGAGTCGGAGAGAGCGCCCCCAGATACGCAGAGACGCGAGAAGCCTTCCAGGTTTCAAGGTAAGCCTCTAAGTGAGACTTGAGAATACCAGTGGATGGAGAACCCAGGTTGTTGCTAAATGCCCTCGAGTCAGTTCCCACTCATAGGGACCCTGGACGGCGGGGGTCTCTGAGGAGGGTGGGTTTGAAACGCCGACCTGGTGAGTCGAACAAACCATGCGGCCCAGCGCTTTATCCCCCAGCACTGTGCCAGGACCCAGTAGAACAGAAGTTGTTAAGTGCCGTCGAGTCGGTTCCGACCCACAGCGACCCTGTACAGGGTTTCCGAGGCTGTAAATCTTTACGGGAGCAGAAAGCCTCCTCTTTCCCCCGCGGAGCAGCTGGGAGTTTCAAACTGCTGACCTACGCTACCAGAGCTCCTTAGAGACCCCCCCACAAATAAAGTTCCGTGCCCCCGCTAGGCGTTTTGGGAGGCTGCGGGCTGTAGTTTAAGGCTGGGGTGGGCGGAGGCGAGGGCTTTACTGTGTAGGGCAGGACTTCGTCGGAGTCAGAGTGAAGATGGGGGTGAAGTGGGGGGGGGAGGGATGGGGGTTTGGGAGGAGCCGATCCCAAGGGCGGTGCTGGAGGGAAAGTGGGAAGCGCTCCTCGGGGAAGGCGTGGCGCTCGGGGCTCCATGGCGTCCGCGCCATTATAGCGTGAGGAAGGGCCAGCCCCTCAGGAGTCCAGATTAGGAAGTAGGGGATTTTTACAGCTTCGAAGCCCCCCCCCACACACACACAAAAGTTACACCCAGTGTCTGGCTGTGTGAAAGAGACCGCGGTTGGAAGATATAGCAATCTCAGTTCATTGCCGGAAGGGGTTTAGTTCCAACCCAACCGTTATCCAGTAGGAGGAGTCCTGGGGTGGCGCTGTGGGTTAATGCGCTGGAACTGCAAAGGCGCTTGGATCCCCAAGGTCGGCGGTTCAAGCTTACCAGCCACTCTTTGGAGACCCCATAGAGGGTCACTATGAGTTGGAATCGACTCGATGACACTTAATACACTTAACAACCACAACAACGTCGAGACACATTAAAATAGTGAAGTAGTGGCCCCGTAGGATAAGCACTCGACCTCAAGGTCGGTGTGAAGCACGAGGTCGGCAGTTCAAACTCACTAGCTGCTCTGGGAAACCCCATACAGGGTCGCTGCGGGTCAGAACCGACTCGATGGCATTTAACAACAAACCAGTATGCGGAGTCCTGGTGTGGCATTGTGGGCTGTTGAACTGGACTGCTAAGTATAAGGTTGATGGTTCGAGCCCACCAGCTACGCTGCAGGAGAAAGATGAGGCTTTCTACTCTTGTGAAGATTTACACCCTCAGAAATCCTATACAGGCCACTATGAGTTGGAACCGACTCAATGGTATCTTTAAAAAAACAGTATCTGCAAGATAAGCATGGGTCCAGAACTGACTGTACAGCACTTAACAAATCAAATAAAAACAATGTAAAACAATGTGAAGATTGAGGCAATGCTCAGCAGAAGACTGGGGGTGGAGGGGGCAGGGGCAGAGCGTGGTGTCAGAACATTGACCTTGTTTAAAACCCTCAGAGGCCTGAGGAAGGGCTTTCAGACTGAAATGATCCTTCTCTTCTTGCTCAAGGTCTCAGGAATCTGAAGGCTTTGTTTTAAGAAGGTGACGGGTTCGACAGACGAAGGAGTCTCAATCCTGAGAAGTGTCAAGGTAATGATTCAGATACTTCCGAGGGAAAAAGTGTGGTACCACATACTAAGGGCAGTGCTGGGAACACAAGCAGAGCTAGCCAGATGAGATGACTTCTCAGGTCTCTCTGGTGGTCCTAGAGAAGTGAGGCTTTATTGTGAATGATTAACCTTAGGTCGGCAGAAAAAAGGGAAGAGTTCCAGACCCTGTAAAATTAAGGGACCTGAATGAGGACTGTGAGAACCACCCACTTCAAGATAGAAGGGAGTTCTCTGTCTTTCAATTGTGATTAACCCTGGGGACCTCATTCACACGTATTCACCTTTTGTGGTCTTAGGGAGGTTTGAGCCTTGATCTGAGGTAGCAAAGTCAGCTTAGTAGAAGGAGTCCCAGGTTCTTCCAGGAATAAAAGTAAGGACTCTAAAAGATGATTGAGGGAATCATTCTTCTCAAATAGAGGTGGTCCAAGAAAGTCCTGCTTCTATTGTCAGTCCTGGATATGGATGGCTGGATGAATTGCCCATCACTGCTTCCTCAGTGATCACAGGCGTGTGAATCTTTAGTTTAAATAGGGAACACCATGAATCTCATACAATATACAAACCATGGTACAGGTCTTGAATGAAAACTCTCAGAAAAAAAACAAAAACAAAACAAAAAAACTGTCACTGAGTCGATTCCAACTCACAGTGACCCATAGGGTTTCTGAAGTTGTAAATCTTTATGGGGGCAGGAACCTTCATTTTCCTCCCATGGGGGAATGACTAGTGGATCTAAACTGTTGACCTTGAGGTTAGCTGTCCAGTGCCCAGTGCTTATTCTGTAGCACGATCAGGGTTCCTTTGAATGAAGACTATGTGGACACCAACCCGAGTACAGCTGAAACTCTGAGTCTCATCCTGTTCTTGAATTCAGCCCTTGGTATTCAAAGGCTGTTGTTGTTAAGCACCGTCAACTCAATTACTACATAGTGATCCTGTACAGGATTTCCAAGGAGCAGCTGGTGGGTTTGAGCTTCCACCCTTGTGTTTAGCAGTCCAGTGCTTATCCTACAGTGCCACAGGAGGACTACATTCAAAAGCAGGAATGCCCAAAATTCCCATACTCTCTTCTCATCTTCAAGGGTCTTAGAGCTATGAGGGTCTTGATCTGAGATGAGCAGCCTCACATCAACATAGGGGAGGGTGCACAGGCAGTGCTAGCAGGCTAGCCAAAGACCCAGAGTTAAGATGGTGGTTATTATTGACCCCAGGACAGAGGGGACCCAGCAGAGTCACCCCTATTTCCAGTTCTAGGAGTCACGGGACAGGATCACCAGATGAGGTACTTTCCCTCTTGTTTTTCGGGGTTTTAGTGAGGAGAGAGCCACCTCCATAAGATAAGCACTGGACTGTGAACCACAAGGTTTGGGGTTCGAGCCCATCTATTGCTCCACGGGAGAAGGATGAGGCTTTCTGCTTCCGCAAAGATTGGAAACCCTATACTAGGTCACTGTGGGAACTGACTCAACTACTTTATAACAGCATCAACATTGAGAAGAAAGTCTTGATACACGACACCTAAATTGCATAAGGCAACAAAGCAAAGACTCTTAAAGGTCAAGATAAGGACCCTGAGAGAGATCTAAGGGATCCATATTCCAGAAGATTCTGACAGAGAAACCAATAGTTAAGAGAAAGATGAGGTCTGAGACCAAGCAAGTAGCCAAGGTAAGGGATCTGAGTGACAGATGAGGTAATTGATAACTCATCCCAGCAGAACAGAGACCCAACATAACATTGCTCTGTCCCGATGTCATACTGTGAGGTACTGGGCAAGGATGTAATGTGATTATTACGTTGATGTATTAATGTATTAAGTGTGATGTCCCTTTACTTCCTTCCCAATAAATTAAGTTGGTAAAAGTTTTCATCTGAGGATGAGACATTAGGTCAATTGAGGATGCCCTAGGCCATGCTAATAGTCAAGGGAAGGACCTTATATGAGACTTAGGAGAACACCTATCCCAGAACAGAGTGATCCCCACAGAGTCCTGTCCTCATATCCCCCTTGGGAGACTTTGGGCAGGGAAGGCAGGATAAGATGCCCCCTAATTTTGGCACTGTGGATTAATGCAAAGTCTGTTTGAACCACAAGGTTGGCGGTTCAAGCTCACTAGCTCCTCGGGAACCCTGCACAGGGTTGCTATGGCTCAGAACCAATTTGACAGCACTTAGTAATAACAACAACAACAACAATTTACTACTCAGTGGTCACAGAGAGATAAGGCTTTTGTGCAAGGGGGCAGCATCAGCTCAGTAGAGAGTAGGACAATGTCAAGATCCAAGGTGAGGACTTTGATTGAACAAAGAGGTGAAACAAACTACCTGAGTATAGAAGAGACTTCACAAGTCTTGCCCTGCTCATTATCATGCCTGGAAGGACCAAAGCAGGGGTGGCCAGATGTCCCATTGCCTCGTTTTATAATTGGGGTCTTGGTATTAGGGGTGACCTGATATTAGCAGACAGGTGTGGCCCCAGGCTCTACTAGGAACCAAGGTAGGAATTTTAGGTAAGATTGAAGGGTCTGTTCACCTAGAAAAGAGGTAGATCATTAAAATCTAACTACACCTGCTTATCGTCAGGTGTGGGAATTCTCTGGCTGTGTTGACTGGCTGCAACCCATAGAACATTCTCATTTCCTCTTTTGGCTTCTTAGGTAGCACAACACTCAGGAAGACAGATTCTAGAGCACTGCTCTCAGGAGAATAGTGTTGTAGGTAGACTTAATCAGAAACCAGAGTTTAATTTACCAATTGGGGCCACTCACATCCTCCTCCTCTCCCTTAGGTTCTGGTCCTTCAGCACACTCCTGCCTGCTGCTATCCACAAGAGTCATCATGTCTAATCCACGCCGCACAAGTGGATTCACTTATAGTGAAACCCAGGACCTACAGGCCATCAAGTCTATGGAGGAGACATTGTTCTTTTCCACCCATCCTCAAATACCTGGTAATCTGGATCCGGTTCCTGCCGCTGAAATTTCCAATGCTCCTCAAGATCCAAAAAGTGAGAATGCCACTTCCACTACTGCCTCAATTACCTCATTGAGTAAATCAGATGATAGCTCCAGCAGCGAAGAAGAGGATAGTTCAAGCACCTCTGATTGTCTAGACGAGAATGTGCCCAGAGATCCTCTAGATGAGCAAGCAGCTTTGTTAGTGAATTTCCTGCTGCAAAAGTATCAAATGAAGGAGTCCATTACAAAGGCAGATATGCTGAATGTTATGGGAAAGTACAGAAGTCAGTTCTCTGAAGTCATCCTGAAAGCCACGGAGCGCATGGAGATTGTCTTTGGTCTTGACCTGAAGGAAGTGGATCCCATCTGCCACAACTACGTCATACAAATCAAATTGGGCCTCACCTATGATGGAATGCTGGATGGTGAAGAGAGCATGCCAAAGACCGGAGTTCTGATACTTGTCTTGGGTGTGATCTTCATGAAGGGTAACCGCGCCACTGAAGAGGAAGTCTGGGAAGTCCTGAATGTGACAGGGATGTATTCTGGGCAGAAGCACTTCATCTTTGGAAATCTCAAGAGTCTCATCACTGAAGTTTTTGTCCGAGAAAAATACCTAGAGTACCAGAAAGTGCCCAACAGTGATCCCATACAATATGAATTCCTGTGGGGTCCAAGAGCCTACACTGAAACCACCAAAATGAAGATCCTGGAGTTTTTGGCTAAGGTCCACGGAACCGACCCAAGTTCTTTCCCATCCCAGTATGAAGAGGCTTTGAAAGAAGAAGAAGAAAGAGCCCAAGCTGCAGCCAATCTTAGCACTACCATCGTGGCCAAGGAGAGCTCCAGTGCCACCTTTGGCAGCTCTTCCCACCCCTAGTAAGGTCTGGAGTAGATTTTTCACATAGAGAGCAGTTAACATTCTAAATATGGAGGGAACACGGTGTGTTTTATCTTTGTGTCCCTGTTCTATATATTCAACTTTGAATGTATCCTTTTGTTTGTAGACACATGTATTAACATGTTTAGTATGTTTAGCTTTAGAATCTGTAAGTTTATGAATAATATGAGTCACAAATTGATTGGCTGTTTATGCGATTTAAGAGTAACATCTTTGCTGTGTTGTAAGACAAATTCAGAAAGCATCCATTGTATTTTGTGATCTAGAATAAGAATTGTAATAGGCAAGTTTTTGGAGATAAGAAAGAAATAGCAACTGAAGTTTAAAAAGCATAAATCTTGACTTTCTTTACACCTTGTAATATGTTGTTTTGTAAAATTAGATGATACTGATGTGTATTTTCAAGACTGAATCAGAAATAAATCTTAATAAAATTATACTCCATGCTCACTGATGTGTCATTTATTCTGCAAAACTTAATTGAGCATTTGTTTATTGGTAACTACTGTGTTAATACTGGACATGCTACAATAAACAAGAACCATCCACTGGTCATAGAATTTTAACATACAGGAGCAGTCGTCTTACAAAGATGATGGTGGAATGTCATCTAATACCTAAAGGACAAGTAAAACAAGGGATTAGTAGGTGGAGGTAGTAGGTCCTTATGAGAATGTAAAGTAAATACACTGAAGCAAGGAAATGTGGGACTTTTGCAAACTGCAATTCCTTTAGTTGCAGTTGATTTTTGTTAAACTGGGCTTTGGGCAAGATGAGACTATGGTGGTGGTGAACAGATATCACACTCTCAGATAATGCAGCTCAGAGTTGAGACCCCAAAGCTTGGAATGGAAAACTGCTTTTTGCATTTACTTTGGTAGGTAAATTAGGGAGAATTTTCAACTGTGTCAGGAGTAGAAGTTGTCCTTACTCTTGTCCTAGTGCATTTGAACTTTGCACAAACTGGGTGTTTATGGATATCAGTTTCAAGACTTTTTGATAACAGAAAAAAAAGTTACACTTTCTTGAGGTGAGATGGGCTAGCACTCTACTCGGACCTAGGGAAGTTAAAGTCCACTCTATTCAAGGCTATCTTAAGTACAATTTGGACAAATGTAAACAAGACATAGATTTACGTTGGAGATGAAAATAGAGAAGGATTGAATGCTAGGAAAACTGGCAGAGAGGTGAGGAGATGGTCTTTGACACAAATTCTAGGAACCTTTAAATTGTGCTAGTTAGGGAATACTCTCAGATCCAAATAAAATCTCTGAGGGAGGAAGTTTACTGAGACTTACATGTTGGGTTCAAAACCACCAGTCATTCCTTGGAAACCGTATATAGGGTTGCTGTGAATCAGAAGTGATTTGGTAACACTTGGGAACAACACATGCTAAGCAATATTTTTATCTAATTTGATACTTCATGTACTCTAGAATTTCATGTTCTCTGAGACGTTTTGGAATATATACAAGGGGACTTGAAGTTCGTAGAAAAAATGGAATTAAAACATAATGCAATTTCCCCACAAACTTATTAAAGCCCGTGAGAGAGGTATTAATAAATGTCATGTAAATTACGTACATGGCACATTTTCCCAACAATTCCACGTTATCCCACTTCACAGATGACGAAAGATTCAGATAACTTGGTAATGTGTCTGATTTCACAAGTCAGAATTTGTCGAGAGATCACTGTTCCACTCCTCCCAGCCTTTTGATTGATTCTCTGTCTCTTCATTCATTCCTGTTTGCAGTGCTCCATGATGACTCTCAGGAGATTAAAAAGGACTGGTGTGGCACTGTGGGTTAATGTGCTATACTGCAAAGTCAGTTTGAACCCCAAGCCACAAGGTTGACAGTTCAAGCTCACCAGCTGCTCCTTGGAAACCCTATACAGACAGGGTCACTCGGTTGAAACCGACTCGACGGCACTTAGCAATAACAATATATGAATTGGTAGTCTGGTTGTTAAGTACCCTTGAGTTGGTTCTTATAGAGACCCTCTCTGGGGTTTTGGAGGCTTTTAAAAATCTTTGTGAGAGCAGAAATTCTCATGTTTCTCCTGCAGAGTAGTTGGTGGGCTCAAGCTACCGACCTTCTGGTTCGCAGTCCAATGCTTATCCTATGGAGCCACCATGCTCTAATATGAGAACACTAATAGCAATACGTTTTTACTTATCCTCATATTCCTGTGGTACACTTGTTAAAATTGATGAACCCACGTGGACATAGATAACATCCATTATTAACTAACTCTGGCTCACAACAACCTGTATAATACATTAGCGTTCACTTTACGCTTACTTTAGGGTTCACTCTTTGTACTGGACATGTTGTTCTCAGTCATTGAGGTTCTGACTTGTAGGTCTTATACTTCAATCAACAGCACCTTTCTTCATTTACCTTTTCTTTAAATTCTATAATCACAGTTTTTGTTCCAAAAACTCAAAGTACCTTTAAAAGGAACATGGCTAGAGTCGCTCAAGGATGCCCAAACTGCTGTTTTGTAAATCAAAGCACACAGAATTCTCTTAGGAAGGTTTACAGAGATGAAAACCCACATTCAGAAGTATATTGACCTAGATGGAGTATATGATGAGAACAATAGCTTCAATTGTTGATTTTTGATTTTTTGTTCAATAACTGTTGCTATGACTTTGTAACAGTAATTTTTTACTTACCCTCATACAAGATGTTAACAACAGAAGAAATAGTGTGCTGGGAGAAGAGATAATATGAGAACGCTTTGTACTTTTCACCCAATTTTTTTTGTGTACCCAAAATTCTTCTAAACAAACGAAGTCTAGTTTTTAAAATGTGCTTTAAGAAGCAAGAATCCATCCAGTCAGAATGATCAGATGCAGGAATGGAGTCATATAGGACACTCACTCCTCTTGAAGAGTGAAGGTTCGGAAGGAGAGCAATTTCTAGGGCCCACAAGAGATGCCACATGTAAAACTAAGTCCAGAGATCCCAGAATGGACTGGCAGTCAGAGGTCTGTGCAAAGTTAAGTGTAGCATGGAGAAAGAACCAGAAAGAGAAAAGCTATGAAAATTAGGTAAAGGTTCAGACATCTCACATGCATAAACTTGAGGAATTTCTTAGTCACCATTGTCAGGGGGGAGTTGTAGGGTCACTTGAGTTGGCAGGTCTACTGGAGAAAAGGACCAGAGGCAATTTAGACATACTGTCATCCCTTAGAACGCCTGATCCAATGTCAAGTCAACCACAGCTGATTCTTCTGCATCATCCAATGATGTTACTTCTGATTTGGGAGTTAGCGACATCTCTAGACTTCCCTGGTGATGCAGTACACTCTTAATGAGTGATGGCAGTTACGATAACAGTAACAACAAGCAGTGGAAGGTGGTATGTGACTGAATGGAGTAGAAACTTAGAGAAGAAACTGGTGTAATAACTGTAGATAAATAACTGGGTATGGACATATATTCTAAAGCAATCCAGAAATGGTATTCCCAACTCATACTGTTTTCCATGTTCCTGAGTTAGTGACACACCATGAAACAATTATACTGTGGCTGATTCATGGTTTACATTGCCATCAGATATTGCCTGGGAGTGAAAGTTGACCCTAGGTGCAGATATTTGCAGATTTGGTGAAGAACCTGTGGATATTGCACTCTTATCTTTTTGAACTCACTGAAGGTAATGGGAATACGTGGGGTCCACTACAGGAAGCGTGATATACCATCCTGTTGTGAGCATTCCCAAACCCAAATGCTATTTGGGCCAATGGAAGAGTGACTCATAATGACATTCTCAGTGATAGTTTCCACAGGAATTATCAAGTTAGTTGGGATAATAACCTATCAAGGGGCCAGTTCCACATTTTGAATCGGGATTGTGATTAATTATTTCATTCATTCATCCAGCAATATTTATTGAACATATGCTGAGGATGGATCATGGGCCCTGTTACTGAGATATGTTAAAGATGGAATTAACTGCTTTATGGTTTATTGTGAACGCTGTACTTTTTTAAAAAGAAAGAAAATAAAAGAAAAGCATTGTATTATTGTTGGAGTTTCCACCTTCAACTTTTCTGAGGCGCTGAGCTTCTCACCTACTGCAATATATCAATTATAATGGGGACAAAACTACCCTATTAGGTTTTTTGTTTTTTTCTTTTAATCATTATTTAAAAATTTCTGGTGGTCATTAAAATATCAATTGATGCTTGGATACCACCACTGATGGCCCTGTTTTAGGAGCACAATAGAAATCCTGGAACAAGTGGGAGAAAAATATACAACAAAAGTAAAATCATTTAAACAAAAAAGACCAGTCTTACTGGTCTGATAGAAACTGGTGGAACCCCTGAGACTATGTCCCTTAGGCACCCTTCAAAGCTGGAACTGAACCCACACTGAGAGATCACCTTTCAGTCAAACAACAGAAGACCTATGAAGTGAACAATAATACCCTAAGAAGAAAGTAATCCTCAGTAAAATTAACCATGAGACCCAAATGGCAGCATTTGTTCCAAAATGATGTATGGAAGACAGGAAGGGTCAGGAAAGAAGGAAAAATGGACATAGTAAACCTGGGGAAGAAGTGGGAAGAGGAGTGTTTGTCACATTGAGGGAATTGCAATTAATGTCACTAAACAAAATGTATATAAGTTGTTAAATGAAAAACGACTTTGTTATGTAAACTTTTAAAAAAGTTTTTATTGTGAATTATGTGATAGTTACATGAAAAAGCATTATCTTTACATTCACCCTATCATATTTCATTTCAATGCAGTTATTACAGTGATTACACTCCCCTGCATGCATCATCAAACAACCAAAGGGTACACGCCACACGCCTGCCCCTCAGCCGCCAGCACATAGCCCCTCTCCCTCCCTGAGTCTAGAGTCCTCAGACATTCCATCTCTCCACATCTTCATCTCTGCCTCCATCCCTGGCTTCACTGCTTCTCTAGATACGGTCCCGCACTTTGCTATTCTCCC